CTTTATGGCTCACTGATCAAAGCGTTTGCTCCTCGTTTGGTCTATTACATCCACAAATCATCGGTCACGCGTTCTGCCGCATTCCGCTCCACCCTGTGCACAGTTCTATTCGTGAACGGATCCTTCCGCCTTTAATTTATGGGGCCAAATCGCTCCAGACCAGTAGGGTTCTTGGAAATAATGCTTTTCGGTGGCCCAAACCGCGGTTCATCACACACGCTTGCCGGGTATCATTTTTCCGGGATGTGTAGACGAAATATGTTTCGATTCTTGAGCAACGCAAAGCAGTTAATTAATATTGATAATATGAGAGTAATGGAGGATTTGATTTGTGTATATGATGAACTCTTCGTGTAAATGAGGCGTGACCTGAAAAGTTGGGAAGCACTGGATGGCTGTTTCGACCTGGTTGGATCTCATCAACAGTGCGAATCAATCGACCCAACTGGAGATCGAACCCGGGACCTCACAGATAGGACGCAAGCATACTACGCACTCGGCCACCGGGCAGCTGATCAGACCGTTTCTCATTTAGAATATACACGATATAGCACAACCCATCTATTGATAATAGTTTTTTCACTAAATGAACAATCATGAAACCATGTGAAACGCTTTGTAAGATTTGGTATGTGTTTTCATCATGCGCAGTGAATGTGTTACTCATCACCACTGAAAATCCCTGTAAGAACTGCACTGATGTTGATTCCTTTTTCGGAGAGATCAGCGTTACCTAGTCTCCGAACCCACTGGAACTTTTAATCCGATGCTAAGTAACTGAAGCACTGCGTCTTTTCTATCCCATTACTGAAAACAGAATACAAAAAGATAGAGATATTGTGAGATTCGTGCATGTTTTTGCTCTGGTCGATCTGAAATATCCGGGACTACTCGGGCTGGCTTTGGGCCCCATGGAACACGTTAACACTACACGATAAAGCGTTTATCCGCCAGTGTCGTTGGACGCACGCCACACTAAATCCCTGTTCATTTAGTGCAAATTCTTAGCCTCTAATTGCCAACGAGATTACACTGAACTCTCTTCTGCGCTGTGCGTGACAAGTTGAAGCTGTATAACCGTTTATAAACCAATTAATCAAGTGCACCCATAATTCTCAGAAAGAATGAAGTAAATTCGATTATTGAATATACAACTGGAGCATAATTGATTGAAAAGTCTGGCGGATGCTGGCCCGGTTCACATATCTGCAGGTGGCACCACGAATAATTTTCCGCTCACGTTTAACTTTTGAGCCATTTAGCGAAAATAAGAGCGTGTCCTAAATGAAGATTATCACAGTACAATACAGAAATCCGCACACGACAACTCAGTTGTTAGTTGCGGGCAATATAAACAACCTACATAATCATTTGTCTTGCCCGTTTGTTTCAACTAATTGGTCACTATCTGTTAGCGCAGATAACTTTGGTGTAATGAAAATAACTATTTTAAATGACGACTACGGTAGACTCTCACCTTTTGGAGCATCCTCTTTTATGTATGTTTCACGTTCATGAAGACATTTATCATTTAGCCTAATCAAACATGCTGGCAGGGAATTGCTGGTTGCCTGTCCGTACTACACCTAGTTCACACTCGTTCTCATTCACACGGAACTGTTGTTCTAATTTGACCCTCCCCCCTCGTTCGATGGTAGGGATACGCCGGTCAGCCGAATGCGTTCATTGCTACTCAAGGCCCCATGTCCCATACTGTGGGTGATTTTTGGCGCATGGTATGGCATTCCCGTGCCCCAGCGATTGTGATGATAACCAAATTGGTGGAGAAGCGCGATGTGAGTAGTTTGCATCAGTTCTTTTCCTATTTTCTATTAGTGTTCAAATGCCGATTATTTTCTCATAATATTCATGTTATTTGGTTGCTGTTTTGTTTTTAGATTCAGGTTTAGATGTTGACAGTTTCAATAAACCCAACCCCTTGTTTGTTCAGTAGCAATTATCGTCGGAAAAATACTTCGATTTGGATGTAACTAAAAGGTCTTATGTATGAGGTTTATTTATGATCTCAGTTCAACTAATCATTACCCTGATGGAAGTTTTTCGTAACTTCACGGCTATACAGTGAAATAGAAAATGTTGCTGTTCAGCTTAGACCCGGTCAACTGTTTGATTATTTCGATAGACACACTCGTCGGTTTACTTGAAGGTCAGTGATTAATCTAAATTCACCGCGAAGGTTGATATTCGCTAACCTCTCTCGCATGTCGACTGTTTACAACGACTCACTTGCGCTTAGATTTCGCTCAATCCGCTGGATGTGCTCCGCTTTGAACTTCGGCTAAGGTCAAAGTGCCCGCATTTCAGACATGGAGTGGTGGTAAAATTTTACCTCTCCGTCATCCGTTGTGTGTGCAATCTCATTTGGATTGATGCATTTGAGGGGGTTGTGTGAGTATGTGTCGTTTTGCACGTCAGTGTTCGATGCACTCCGGATAGTTCACCCGATTTGTTTGTAAAGCGGACCGTTGTTATTCGCGTTCATCTCTATCAGGATCATTGTTTTATTGAAACTGAGTCTATTTACCTGTTACAAATTCCCATCCCNCATCCCGAAGCTCCTCGATGGAACCGAACAGCACAGTACACGCTGCTTCGAACAATGGCATTCTTTGTTTACGGGGAGAATTACTTCTCCATCTTGCATTATGAAAACCGATTGGGCTACCAGTGGGAAATTCTTGATCCCCCAATTATATGCATCTAACTATTGTGGTGGTGGTTGTGATGAGTTCGGTCCTGTGTTGTGCTCATGGGTCACTTCGTGAATTCGACTTGCAAGGATTGGATGAAAGCAATCAGTGCGACTATAGTTCATTGGTTTATGAATAGGGGTTTAATCGAATTCTCACACGCATATAACAAAGCAGCGTCATTGATAATGGGCTCCAGCCACCAACATTTGTGTCTCGATTGTTTCAAATATCATCGGCGGTACTTTGTTAACTTTGACTGTCACGGTTTATTCCAGTTCTGTGTTCCAGTATATGAATTGAATCAAATTTTTTTCTGTTCTCTTGCTCTATTCATGTCACCTAATCAGATCAAATGTGAGTTGTACTTACCAAATAGCCCAATGGATGAGGCTTTGTCCGCCGTGCAAATTACTCCTGTGTCCAGTGTCAGTCAAACGGGCAGTAGCTTCAGCAGTAGTAGCCCACTGTCATCCGTTTCACACTCGGTCTCGATAACGGAGTCGAGCGGTGGAGTATCGCATCCGGTAAAACGTTCCGGCTGTCTCAGTGATAGCGGTGTGACCAGTATGGAGGAACGATGGGATACGCTGGGTTTGAAACCGGTGGACGAGGAGGATTCGGAACCGAAACCGACCGATTGTTCCAGTCCGGATTCCAGTCATTCAATGGCCTTGACCGGTTCCTCGAATACGTATGGTGATATTCATGTTCTGGTCGAGTCCGTGCAACGCTGTACCGGTTACTCTGTGCGTCAGCTTCGATTACGTGTAGGTTTACTTGCTTGGATTTTATATTCGTTGTTTTCCATCTTGTTTTTAACCTGTTCATTCATCTGGAAAACAAACCGTCTAAATGATAATAAAACGTAAGAGCACAGAATAACAAATGATCTCAGTAATCTTTCTCTCGTACATCATATTTAACAGCCCGAATCACACGCAATCTGATTCACACAAACAATAACTATGCAAGTTTATGCACCGGTGTGGGTCACCGTCTTTCGTCTGTCCGTTTGGTCGAGCAATACAGAAGAGCTAGAAACTAGAGTTAAGTAACAGGATAAATACATAAAACGCAGGTAGACCCAGTATGTATTGAATGCTGTTCGAATGCATGAATGCCATACTGTGTGCATAGTGAACATTTGAAAACCATTCTATTCAATGAATCAAATTGTACAGTTCATATGCCATGGCTACTAGCATCCGATGATCACGTTCCATATCGCCTTTCTGATCCTAACCACTTCTCAAGGTATTGAAGATTAAATGAGCTCGCTATCTCCCTGTGTTTAGGGTGCGAAATATGCAACAAACGAGGTGCATGTTTGTCCGTGAATTGGGAGCACAAACGATGCGTAACCGAACTTCTGAGTTGTTGTTGTTGTTGTTATTGCTTTTGTCGCCATTGTTGTTGTTGTTGTTTCGACGGGGGGAGGTTGATTGTGACCATGATAATGGTGTTGATGCTAACTGAATATGACACATGCATACCTCACGGAATCGCGTGTCACATCTGCTTCCCGTGTGCTTCCTGTCGTGTTACTTATTCATCTGAATCGAACCGGAACGCATTTCTGATGAACGCATATGATCACCTTGTGACAGACCTGCAGTCATGTTCATACAGTGAAATCGTATGTGTGACTGTTGGCGTCCAGTTTGTCCACGCGCAGTATGGGATCATCTATGCTTTTGTACCCACATCCTTTATGGTACGATGGTGTATCCTGGTGGCGTATCACTCCCCATTCCATCCCCACTTCCCCTCTCCTCCATGCACATGCATGCGCATACGTACACGAACACGTGCGAACTCCCACTTGGGTGTGCATACGTGCTTCTCGACCATGTTTGTTTGGTTCAAGCAATTCATAGGTCCGTCCTCACGTATGCACGGGCAGGCAAATGAATCAGTTGCCCTGTTTTCCTCCGGTCTGTTCTCACGTGTACAGTCGCATGAACAGATTCAGCCTCGTAGGGAAAAAATCGACTTAGATATTACATGTGTCTATCTAATATATAAATTTAACATGTGGACACCGTTGAATGAGAACCATATGATAGATCCTTTTTCATTAACTCCTGACCACATTTTGGATAGTGATTCAGGAAAACCCATCCATAGAATGATAATGGACGAATAATAGAAAGAATTGAGACCTGGTGGATATCCGAGAGCTGAAATTCGTACCAGGGAACAGAAAGAAGTGAAGACGTTTGACACCGATGATCAAGTTGGAACAGCACCTCTAAAATGTCTCAGCTGTAGACTTCTTATTTTCATAGCGTTCTCACCGTATACGCACAAATTCGATTCCAATGATTCTTTTTGTACCTTTGTATATGCGGATCTTTCGCCGTGGTTTGAGTTTCCTACTGTTCATTGCGATATCAAAACGTGGCTTATGCGATACTCATGTTTATAAGATGACTTAAAGCAATACCTTGGTGAATGCGTCGGTATGAAAGACAATCGCTAGGGCAAAACTGTAGAAAAATGACTTTAACAAAGATCGTCAGTCAACGGGAATCGTGGATTGTGATGCGGATAACAATAGCATAAATGGCGGACATTGTCTTGCCGAGGAATTCTGAAGGGTCATTAGACCGTGGTTTGCAATTTCCATATTTTCAGCTTAGTCTTCATCCTCTTATCACATCAGCTGCTTGGCATTTCTGCTCGCTTTAGAAGCTAAAACCTCCTGTCTCCCCAGATGACAGTAGAACACTTGGGTAAACGCTTTTTACACTGTATCATGTTGCTGCTTGACGGTGTTTGTCCGCTAGTTTCGCTTTTGTGAACCCTCTGGAGCTCAGCGCCCCGGCCTTGAACAATCTGACGGAAGTTTTCTCCTCTACAGATCGAGTCTAGAGAACGCGTCTAGCTCTAGTATCAATTTATTCGTTATTGAAAATTAAATGAAAATGCTGTTTCATTCTCCGTGAACGTAAAACAAGTGTATTTTCACTTGTCACTTATTGCTCCAGCAGGTATCGGATAGGTGGAGAACCTCTGTTTTCTTATGAATTTTTATGCTACCAATGTGAACTATTCCTGTTGGGTTTTCAACACTCATCGGAGTTTGGTTGTATTTATTGTTCACTACTCAATCTGTGTTGTCAATGTATCAGGTAGTTTGCGGAACTGCCTCCACGCGTAGACCAGACGGCACTGATGATAACAGACACCAAAGACGTTTGCTCAGATTTCGCGTTGCACATACGAGTTGAATTAGAATCCACGATACCCTAATTTTTCTTTGACCAATGTTTTTACGGTCTGTTTGAGTCCGGACTGTTCGGACACGGTTTATTCTAATTTGGGTTGTCTCATGTTTTTTTCTGTTAGTTACTATTCTCCTCTTCTTGATTCTCCTACCGAGTGAATGCAGGCAGCATATTTGTTGACACCTCCGGTCCAGCCCAAGTTGACTGACAGATATAATCTCCCGTGTATCACATTATTCGAAGTGACAGAGTTCAATACACTCCAGTTTTCTACCCGGTTTCTCTATAAGAGAAATCATCTTTTCCACCAAAAATGACGTCTGCACCCCAGGGTCCTTTTTTTATTTCCTCCCTGTCTATGGATATCGTTTCCCCCGCCCGTGTCTAATTAGTACAAATCAGATTATCATCTGTCAGTCACAAAGTTTTGCTTCGGTTTTTCACAATCATGTTTGTGTGTTTAGTGTTTGTACCGTATAGCTCCGATTGGTTTCACTGCCTTAGACGATCCCTTGCGTATGTCACGGCATGCTCTGTTTCACGCACTCTGAGTGCTTAGATTGCGTCATCTGATGGTTCGTATTCGTGTTTATGCCTGTCCGTGAATCGATTTTACCATCGTTCTCTTGTAAGAAAATACACAGAGTAAAAGAGAGTGTGTTTCACGTTTGGGTCATCGCCACTCTCGACCGGCACTTTCCTGCACATCTGTATAGATTTTTTTCCCGCCCCCGTACTCATGCATTCGCCTTGGCTCATTCAAACATTACGTGCGCACAAGCCGACCAAAATCCGTGCGCCTCAGACTCTGTCGGGTGACATCATCGATCACCTTTGGCCCGGGGTCTCTAGTACATACTTGTAATACACCATACACTGTGATTACACCACATCATTTGTTGTGAAACATGTGTTTTGAGCTAACTGGTCAGTCACACGCACGGTGTTCGCATGTGCCATATGGTTCCGCTAAAGTTGTTTAGCCAGACATACTTTGGCTCCAGTTGTTGCGTTTATTACTTTGTTTTGACCTTTACACTGATGCACGTGCTTCGGTACATGTTGACTTTTGACCGGCTATTATCTTTATAGTACACCCAATCGGCTAAAGGCTTTCACCCAGCTGTTTCTCCGTCATCCCTTAGCCTATACGATTTCGTTTATACATCCAGCAAGCAAATGGATGATCTCATCATCAATCATATCTAGTAATGCTCTGCCACGAGGTTTATAGCTTTTTATATTTTAGTTTTTGGCGAATTGTGCACATTTCCCGCTCTTGGTTGCACACTTGCCTCTCAATCCCGCCACACGTAGAATCGGGTGTTTTCATTGAACAGTTATTATCAGCATATGTACACAGCCAAACGGACCACCGGGAATCGATACCTGTGTGTGTGTGTGTATTTTTAGTGACCGAATCGCTTTCCGCAATCTCTGTTGTCCAGTTCCTCTCCCCTCCCGTCTCACTGTTATTCCTTTCTGTTGATAGCACCCCCTACCGTGTACTAGGCGCTTTGTCGGCATGTACTTTTTCACCTAAGGTTGAATGAGATAAGAATGTGGTGTGGTAGTTCAGACCCAGCACCTCTTCGTTTCCGCTTGTACAAACACCGTTCTGCTTCCCTGTTGGTCATTTGCTTTCACAACCCACCCACGCACGCACTGCCAAACCTGTCACATCTGTGCTCCCAATTTACATCAGCCGTAGTCATTTTGAAGGGCATGGTCACTTCTGTAAATCCGACTGGAATGGTTGCAGTCGTCAGAAAGACATTATCTGATTTGCCTGACCCCCCCCCCTGTTATGATCATCTGTTTTCATGTCCCAACGATTCTTGTTTTTTATTATTTAAATGTTTATTTCTTCTTGTATATAGGCTAATTTTCGTGTTTTGGGCTAGATTAGCAGCATTTGGGCGGAAATAATCGAACTTTGGCAATTGGTATCCTTTTTTCATCTAAAATGGAAAATAGTTCTCGAAATATATAGAACGACTATGCGCTTTTGTTTGTGAAGAAGTCTGTCCTGACGATAATTGGCCTCGATCGTACGTACATGTCAAACCAGTTGAATACACCACGTGTGTGTATGTGTGTCAAAGGTCGTTGACATTTTATGCTGTTCAGTGTTGTGTTGTTTTTTGAACTTGTAGTTTTGGCGCCTCATAGTGCTTCTTTTCATCCCAATGCTTCCCAGTGTCCCATCAGTCTAATATATTCTACTATTATAATTCATACCACATCGCTGTGAAGCGAAAACGATCGTAGGCTACTACACCGGGATCCTCATTCTGAACAAAACAAATTGGCAGTGTCCCAGTTTTTTTCAGCCTTGTGTCGCCATCGTTTGCCGTTACACAAGATATTTGTGAAGGAAAACAACAAAACATAGTTTGTTTTTGGTCATTGTGTTCCCAGAACAAAAAATGAAACAATTCACACCATGTACTCCCCCTTCCGCTTTCTCATAATTGCCGCTTCGTGCGCAACTAGCTTGTACTCGACAGGTCCGAAGTAGATCTAAGACTCCAGTGATGCTATGGAATACACGTAAAAAAATTGATTTCCGTTCTCCATTATGTGGTTAGTATCCAAATCGTATAACAATGATGATGAATTGGGACGTCGATACCTTTAACTCACATGACAATTCATTCATCTTATGACCATTCCGTACAAGCAGTACGGTTACTCCAGTCCATTGATATCTTCTTCTTACTGCAAGTTGATGAAGCATTTTAATTGCGACTATCAGCTCGTGACTCGCAATATCTGTTGAGCATTTGAGCCATATTTTATTACGATTGAATCCGCGACGCCGCAATCGACACTGTGAACTGGATATCCCTGTGTACATTCCAAATGGGTTCTTAACACCATGATGAGTAAGTGTGCTCATGTTTGGTATCGCGATAGCACCCGTAGTCGTTTTTCCACCCATGTTTACATGCTGGTTCTGTACGCTGTATAAGAGGTATGTGAACAAAGAATATGTGGTAGGAGGGACGTTTTGAAACAGACAGAGTGAATTCTTTTCATTCGAGAGAAGGGAGTTGATGGGGTTTTCCGCACCCGTTGTCAAATCTCTTTTGTTAACACTAAGTAAATTCAACCAGTCATCTCAGGTCTACATTTTTCCCGTGTGCTATGAACCAGTACTGTTCGTTGCGGAAACCTAAACCCAAATTTGATACAAAAAATAAGGGGAATCGCTTTGAATGATCTTTGAGGCTTTTTCGATTCAGTTTGTGTTTTTCGCTGCTCAGACATTACTACTGTCTACATTTGGTAGCCGTCATTGATTGAGCACAGTGACCCTTCTCGCTTTTAAATAGTTCCGCGAGTTTCAATCAAGTGATTCTTGTCTTTATTTGGTTTTCAACCCACTTTAAGAATAGCCATCTAATGCATACAGCACCACAAATCTGATCTAATCATTCATCTACTTCATCTTTCAGCGTCGGATAAACTTATTCAGTTTGTTGCTTTGACATGAAGAGCGAATCGCATCCGGATCCTTCGTCCGCCTATTCCAATTCACGTCTGTAATTGCGGTCTCAACCGGCACTTAATGACTTGTTGGTGAAATTGAATTTCCGCAGTTGGGTGTCATGTCTAAACAGTTTTGGAATGGTGTGTGTGTGTGTGTGATTGCTGCATAAATTAAGCACTCTGTTCCAGTTACCATTTCCTCGGGCAGATCAGATGCCATGACTCCCAATGGATAACGGTTGAATTATCAGAGTAAAACGTACGATACAAAATACGGTCTGGTTTGTTTACACTGTAGATAAAATTTCAAGCTTTTTCTATTTGTGTTGGGCATGTATGCATGTGCAAAGCCCTATGCAATTGAGACACTACAAACACAAAACAGCGGAGTTTCATCTCAAATTCTAAGATTGAAATAAAGATAGAAATGACGATTTTGTAAACGACGGTGTTGATTGTTGTTTTGTAGTTCTGGTAGTGTAAATTGATGTTCAGTTGTTCGCCGAGTTTGGCAAATGTATTACAAACGCTTAATCACCAATTGAGGTGACACTCAATGGTGTAATTTTGATATTCGCACCAAGCGTTTATGTATGTAAGTTCATAATGAATAAATCCGATTGACCGACTACAGCTTTCACTTTACATGAATGACTGAAGCTACGAAGACCGGTTTTCCCGCACGTTGTCTATTCGTCTACTAAATCAATTCAAGCTCCACGTCAGCGGTCCTCAAGTCTTTGAGCATACTGAAAGCCGGCAAGCGGTATAAGGTTCCGAGCGCTTGTGCTGAACAATTGGCCTCACCCGTTTCTCGGTCGGTTAACTTGCGCTTGTCCTCTGCAACAATTCCTGATTGCTGGAGATTTGTTCGGCCAGGGCACCTTTCCTAAAAGTTACCCACAAAGTGCAAACCTGAACCGTGGTACTGCTGAAAGGTTTTGAATTTCAACGATTCTGTCCAGTTTGCTATTGCACATGCTGTGTACTCCGTGACATTCGTAATCGTATTAAATAAGTCCATATCGCTCGTTGGAGATTCCTGAATTACACCAATACCTTCGGCTCACTTGATCGCGGACTGTTCCCTCGGCGTATTTCGGATTGCGTTCTAGATAACAATCTATTTTATTTTTTTCTGGTGGAACACAATTTACTTCTTATCGCGGCGAAAAATGTTTTCTTTATCTACCAGTTCCGGTTTTGACATTGTGCCATTCGGTTTCCTCCAATCGCTTTTTCTCGTTTTACGATACCAATATTCCTGTTCGTTGCTTGCAAGTATACGGATGATGTAATTGACTTTCTTTATTCCAACGATGTCTGCTTTGATTCTCTTCAAGATAGTTTGCAGATGGTATTTAGTAGTATACATCATCTTGTTGTGAATGATTAAAATGCACTCAGGGCTGATGCCATCTATACCTTGGTATTGTTCTGTTTCACAATATTTCCTGACCTGAAAACGTCTTTTCAAAAGGTTTGGAGATTTAAGAGACTCGCTGCTCCATGAAAAGTTATCTTTGTATTCGTGATTGCTTTTTCTTCCCAACGGTCTGTATTGTTTCACAATACTTTTGTCTCTGGCGTTTAAAGAGAAGTAGTTGATCTTGCTACCCGGATCTCTTCTATTTTTTCAGATCTGGTGTTGTAATCGTGGCTGATTTTGTTGTTTGTAAGCTTTTGGACATCTTTGATAAATGATCGGTGTAACATTATGTGATGATCACCATTGTGTTTGTGCTAAACTGGCAATTTTTGTCTCCCTTTCTAAATTTCTTAAACTGCCCTTAGAGTACTTAAAACTTATCCGGGCTAGACGGTCTTGTTTTGTCTAGAATCGTATGCGAATAAAAAGGTGAATTTCTAGGGCTATAACATGTCATTCCTCGTTTCGTGAAGTTGGCAGATATTGTCAGTGTGTAATTCATAATTTATTTGATCAAAAACAAAGTATTTCGCTTGAGTTAGCCTGTTTTGAATAACGCATTTCTCTACAGCCATCGCCCTACATGTCGGGCTTTCGCTTGGGGAAAGAACAATTGATTGCACCCGTTGTAGTATTTTGTTTTGGAAACATTTTCTGATTCACAGTCGGTTTCATTCATATTACGGTTCCAAATTCTCATCTTTTGAACAGCGTAATTCAGAGGAGCGTCGTGTGACTCACTTTTGGTATACCGCTTGGCCGGATCACTCCTCGCCAGAAACCTCCCCATCTTCCGCGCGTCAGCTTTTACAACTAGTCCAGGATGCGGAAGCCTGTCGTCGTGATTTTCCTTCTACTTCACTTGGATCTCAACCTTCCCTATCCATCCCTCCTCTTGGCGCCCCCGAAACGGCTCAGCAACCGCAGCAGTTTCCGGTGAAAGCCGTAGCAACACGATTGGCTGGCCTATCTCCGCGCAGGACTGCCGGTATTTTTACCGCTATGACGACAACTGTTGATACATCTCCTGATGGTAGTGGACCAATTGTTGTTCATTGCAGTGCTGGTCTAGGCCGAACCGGTTGTTTCATTGCATTGTGCATTGGCTGTGAGCAGTTGCGTCGGGAGGGAATGGCAGACATTCTCCAAATTGTAAGTCGTCTCCGATTGGACCGAGGTG